CCCATCATAAACCCTTTAGAGAGTAGGAAGTCCCTCAATCTCTCATACCATGATCTAGGTGCTTGCTTCAAGTCATACAATGCCTTTTTCAACTTGTATACATGGTCGGGTTTTTTGTTATCTTCAAAACCGGGAGGTTGCTAAACATATAATTCTTCATTGATGTAACCATTGAGAAATGCACTCTTAACATCCATTTGATAGAGCTTGATGTTGTGGGCACAAACATAGGCTAGCAATATTTTAATTGCTTCCAATCTAGCAACCGGAGAATATGTTTCTCCAAAGTCAAGACCTTCAACTTGTGTATAACCTTGTGCTACCAATCTTGCTTTGTTTCTTATTACTATCCCATCTTGATCTTGCTTGTTTCTAAAGACCCATTTGGTTCCAATCACATTGTGTCCCTTTGGTCTATCTACTAATTCCCATACTTGATTTCTTATGAAGTTATTCAACTCTTCATGCATAGCATTCACCCAATCAACATCCTTCAATGCTTCATCTATCTTCTTTGGTTCAATGGATGACACAAATAAGAAATGTTCACAAAATAAATCCAATCTTGATCTTGTTTGTACACCTCTAGAAATATCACCAATTATGGTGTCCAATGGATGATCCCTTGCAATATTTGTTGGTTGGAGCATTAAAACTTGATTGCTTGCACTTGCTTGATCATTGGATTGAGATGATGCACTAGCCACTTGATCTTGTTCTTGATCATGAGATCCACTTGTACTAGCTTGAGTTGTATCATCTTACATATTTGAGTTAGAGAACACTTGCACTTGATTATCTTCATCATCATTCACTTGCCTAGGCCTCAATTCACCAATATCCATATTCTTCATGGCATTTGAAAGTTGAATGTCTCTAACATCTTCCAAGTTCTCATTCTTTACTTGCGAACCCTTGGTTTCATCAAATTCAACATCATGAATTTCCTCAAGAGTACCACTATCCAAATTTCAAACTCTATATGCTTTGCTTGTAGTGGAGTAACCAAGTAGGAATCCTTCATCACATTTCTTGTCAAACTTGCCCAATCTAGTGCCTTTCTTCAAGATATAGCATTTGCAACCAAAGACCCAAAAATATGCAATGTTGGGCTTTCTACCATTCAAGAGCTCATATGGTGTCATCTCTTTCAATGGGTGACAATAGAGGCGGTTGCTACAATAGCAAGCCGTGTTGATAGCTTCGGCCCAAAAAGATTGACTCACATTGTACTCACTAAGCATAGACCTTGCCATGTCAATGAGTGTTCTATTCTTCTTCTCAACAAGGCCATTTGATTGTGGAGTGTACTTGGCTGAGAATAGATGTCTAATTCCAAATTCATCACGCAACTCATCAATTCTAGTATTCTTGAATTCACTACCATTGTCACTTCTAACTCTCTTGATGGTTGTTTCATATTCATTGTGAATGTCCTTGACAAATGATTTAAATGTTGCAAACACATCACTTTTGTCCACTAGAAAGAATACCCATGTGTATCTAGTATAATCATCCACTATCACAAAGTCATATTTGTTACCATCGATGCTAGTGTATTGAGTTGACCCAAACAAATCCATGTGCAATAACTCAAATGCTTTATTAGTGCTCATCATGCTTTTCTTAGGATGGGTGTTTCCAACCTGTTTGCCGGCTTGACAAGAGCTATAAAGTTTATCCTTCTCAAACACAACATCTTTCAAGCCTCTAACCAAGTCATACTTAACCAATCTATTCAATTGTTTCATTCCAATATAACCAAGCCTTCTATGCCATAACCAACCCATGCTAGACTTAGTGAACAAGCATGTTGATAATCTAGCTTCACTAGTATTGAAATCAACCAAGTATAGATTCTTATATCTAAAGCCTTTGAAGATCAAGTTAGAGCCATCTACACTTATGATCTCTATATCATCTACCCCAAATATGCATTTGAATCCAAGATCACACAATTGAGCCACGGATAGCAAATTGAAGTTCAAGCTCTCTACTAGCAATATATTGGATATGCTCATGTCATTGGATATTACAATCTTACCAAGCTCTTTGACTTTGTCTTTGCCATTGTCACCAAATATGATACTATCATAACCATTATTGCCATTGGTGTTGATTGAGTTGAATATTCTTGCATCACTGGTCATGTGTTGAGTACATCCACACAATAGCTATGACACTACACCAAGTTAGTGTGCTCTTAAAGGCTAACTAAAGAGCCATACTAACCAAACTAACAAGCTCTCACAACTAGCTACACTAAAGAGCTTGACAACTAGTTTGTGGTAATGTAAAGAGAGTGAGCAAGAAAGTTATACCGCCGTGTCGAGGAGTGAACCAATCAATCGCAAGAATGAATACTAGTGAAGACCAATCACCTCAGAATCAAATGATGAACACAATGATTTTTACCGAGGATCACTTGCTTGCCGGCAAGCTACTCCTCATTGTGGCGATTCACTCACTTGGAGGTTCACAAGCCAAACCCTCAATAGGGTGCCGCACAACCAACACAAGATGAGGATCACACAAGCCACGAGCAATTCACTAGAGTACCTTTTGGCTCTCCGCCGGGGAAAGGTCAAGAACCCTTCACAATCACCACGATCGGAGACGGAGACAATCACCAACCTCCACTCGACGATCCTCGCTGTCCCAAGCCGTCTAGGTGGCGGCAACCACCAAGAGTAACAAGCGAATCCCGCAGCGAAACACGAACACCAAGGGCCTCTAGATACAAACACTCAAGCAATGCACTTGGATTCTCTCCTAATCTCATAAAGATGATGAATCAATGATGGAGATGAGTGGAGGGATTTGGCTAAGCTCGCAAGATTGCTATGTCAATGCAAATAGCCAAGAGAGTGAGCTTGAGCCGGCTATGGGGCTTAAATAGAAGTTCCCACGAAATAGAGCCGTTGTACCCATTCACTGGGCACAACGCGGGGTGACTGGACGCTCCGATCATATTGACCGGACGCTGGACCTCAGCGTCCAGTCACGCGATGCGTGCCACGTGTCCCCTCTCTTCAAATATTGATCGCCCGATCTCAACGGTCAAGTGACGATCGGACGTAGCAACTCAAAGTGACCGGACGCTGAGCCCCAACGTCCGATCGTTTCAAGTAAGCATCCAGAGACGACTTTTCACGATCGGACGCGTCCGGTCATGCTCGACCGGACACACCCAGCGTCCGATCACACGGTGACTCCCTTGTGCCAGCCACGTCAGTAGGACCGGACGCAACCTTCCAGCGTTCGGTCAGAGACCGACGCTGGCGTCTTCATGCTTCACCTGACCGGACACGCCGGTCCAACCGAGACTAGCGTTCGGTTACTTACAGTGACCTCCATCTTTTCTGTCTAGGGCGCCGGTGTCACCGTCGGACTGTCCGCACTCTACGGGCGGACACTCCACCGGTGAAGATCCTAACCCTTGCTCAAATGTGCCAACCACCAAGTGTATTACCTTGTGCACATGTGTTAGCATATTTTCACAAACATTTTCAAGGGTGTTAGCACTCCACTAGATTCTAAATGCATATGCAATGAGTTAGAGCATCTAGTGGCACTTTGATAACCGCATTTCGATACGAGTTTCACCTCTCTTAATAGTACGGCTATCGATCCTAAATGTGATCACACTCACTAAGTGTCTCAATCACTAAAACAAAATGGCTCCTATCATTTATACCTTTGTCTTAAACCTTTTATTTTTCTTTCTTGTTTTCAAGTCCAAGCACTTGATCATCATCATGGCATCACCATCACCATGTCATGATCTTCATTGGCTTCACCACTTGGAGTGTGCTACCTATATCATGATCACTTGATAAACTAGTTTAGCACTTATGGTTTCAACAATTTACTAAAACCAAACTAGAGCTTTCAACAGCACCAAACCAAACTAGAGTTTTCAACAACACCACCAGTGGGACCCTTGGCAGCAGGACGAGATCGGTATGTGTCAGCTAGATGGTGTCCCGCTTGGTACCCAAGGAGCCTCACATGTAGTAACAAAGGTAGTTTCTTTAAATACGCAGGCTCTATGAACTAACGATCATAAAGATTATAAGTAATCGTGCATATCATATACTTGCAGGGTACGAGCCATACGCACCGACAACGCGACCACACCGACGTTGGCTACACTCCCAATGTGTTGCCTACAAATCCGAATAGACAGAGGCGTCCGAGGGATCCTTACACTCCTGGGACTTAGTTGGTTATGTCGAACTTATATGGAACGAATATTGTCGTCCGAAACTTGCAGACTTAGTTGGTTATGTCGAACTTATATCGAACCAATGAAAATGTTATGTGGCAACTTATCAACGTGTGCACGGACTCTATTTATTTGCTTCATATTCATTTCAATGCATCACGGTAACACCTGTAGTTGTTTATAGCACCGACAGCAGCTCCCGTTCAATTGCAAGTGAGGCTGGTCGGCTTCTGTCCGTGTCTAGGTCCTGCCGCGCCGTAGGTTATGGCGCGACAGAACCTGCCATGTCACCGGTCAGCGTCTCGATCGTCGCCACGTCATCCCCTCGTCGTGCCACCATGCATGGCGCGGCATAGACGTTTCGCCGCGCCAGGAAAATAAGTCACGCGCAAAAATGTTAGTTTTGGAAAAAAAATAAAACAATGTTAGATTTAAAATTAGTTTTAAAAAGTGTTAAAAATAAAAAAAAAATCTCGGAAATCTAGGTGCATGTCCGGGTGTTTCGCTTCACAACAATTCTTGATCGAACTGCTTCACTATTGTTGCAACGACATGATAGATAGCGCATAACTTACAACTAAGATTCTTACACACTTGCATCACTGAAAAAAATAGCATGCGATGCTCGACACATTATAGCACAAAGATGAACCCCTATACACTTAGTATACGGTCGAATGATTCGCTGACACGTCAGACGTTCATCTATCTCCATTCTCGGGCACAGGGAGGCCTCAGCGCCACACGCTCGCCATCCGCTGACCGCTGCTACCTACTCGTACCTGTAGATGAAGTCGGAGTTGCCGACCATGGCATTGAGCACCTGCGAGACGAGGAAGCCGCTGCCGGTGAGGACGGCCACGATGAGCAGCGCCGTGACGGGGTTCTTGAGCAGCTCCACTATGGGCTGCAGCACCGTGTACGCCACCCCTGTGCTCACCGTCACCACGTACAGCGCGTACCGCCGCATGTTGTCCCAGAACTCCTCCACCAGGGGGCCCTCCGGCCCCAGCGCCAGGGCGGGGCCGGCACCCGCGGACAGGGCCAGCGCCACGGCCACGCCCGCCGTGATGCCGCCGATTAGCGCCCACGTCGGCAGTGGGGACGTCCTGCCGCCGGCGGCGCCGGCGTCGTTATTATTGCCGGCCGCTGCGAGCTCTTGACGCGGGTGGCTCTCCTCCGTAGCTGCCGCGATGCTTTCGTGAGGTGCTACGGCGAGGAGGCGCTTTGCGTGCCGTTGTGGGGTTGGTTCAGAGGAGGAGAGCCGAGCTCGGACGACGGCGGTGGCGTTGAGGCCATGGCCGCGTCCGGGAGAGAGGCGATGTAAGTGGAGGGCGCGGTGGAGAAGAGAGAGCTGGTTCATCTTGTGCAGTCTCTGGTCTTCGACTGCTTGGTACCTGTTCTTTGTGATAAGCCTCTACCAAGTTCTGATAGACCTCTGATCGTGTGGGCCAGCTCTAGCTCTGGTTCCACGCCGCCTGAGCAACCATGGTGGACTGGTGGCCCTGCGGAAGCCGGACCAGATATTCCTTAGTTTCCATCTAAAGGAGATGAGCTAAGGCCTTGGTTAGTTGCTCCCAACTCTCAATTTTGATACTTCCAGTTTTGGTACGATGTAAAAAAAAGATTTTCCGTCATATCAAACTTATGGTATATACATGGAGTACTAAATGTAGACGAAATCAAAAACTAATTGCATAGTTAGGTTGTATTTTGAGAGACGAACGTTTTGAGCATAATTAGTCAACAATTAAACAATTATTACCAAATACAAACGAAATGCTACAGTGTGCACAATGAATCCGGCGGCGTCGAATTCGGCCAACTAAACAAAGCCTAAAGTTTGTTGCACCATTTGATGCGTAAACGCTGTAGGAAACCTGGGGTTAGTTTTTTTTATTAATTACACAATACAATGCACGCACACTTACCTCTACGAACGAACGAAAGCACGTAAACACTACCCCTTTGGTATCTTCGAAGACTGAATCGACAAATCATCGATACGAAATTGACGACTATAGACGTCTCATTGTCAACAGGAACGAGATTGATGAAATCACCACAGACGTCTCATTATCGACCAAAAACGTCGCCTACCACAAAAAGTACGGAGCCGTTAAATCCTAGACACCTGATACTCTTATAACCACTGCCTACCACAAAAAGTACGGAGCATTAAATCCTAGACACCTGATACTCTTGTAACCACTAAGCTACGTAGCCTTAAGAGCACGCCAAGCAGCAATGCCATGACAATTTACAAAGTGCCTTCGTGCTAAATTCAGGCTGGAACCATAAAACCGCACTATCTATGAGAAAGAACAGAAGTCCATGATTTCTCACTTGATTTTTTCCAAAACAAAATGATTTCTCACTTGTTCTTCTAAATAACGCACTAAGCATAGCACACTCAAAGAGATATTGATGGTTACTTCACATCCAACACAATTTTCAAAAACAAGTCATCATGATCGTAACTCTATAATTTCACATTTGATACAATTGTTTTTACTGTACCGAAGCACTTCAGTTTGTGCAACGTCTTGCTTGCATCCTGGGTTCACGAGGAGCAGGACAGCATGCAGACTCCAGGTCTGTATGCCCAGGCTGGTGGCAACCGCGCATACTTCTCCATTCCCGGCTGCTCATCATAAGGATTCTGCATTACTTTAAGCAGCCGGCGAACCTCCTCATAATCACCTTGCTCAGCTGTGTCGATAGCAGACTGGCACAGATAGTTGCGGAGAATATACTTTGGATTAACAGAGTTCATCGCGGCTTTTCTTTCTTCATCAGGAATGCCACTCTCCACCAGCTTTCACACAGAATGAATAACACCATTAGACTGGAGGTTAAGATATTAAATGTAGCAATATAAAAGTCTAGTAACAATGGTAGAGCATAATAAACCTTGATGGACCTGGACAGTGCAGATTTAGAAATCAGGAAATATGACTATTAGATGAATTTTAGAGCATAGTCACATAAATTCAGAGGGAATGCAGGTAAATTTTGAAAGCACAAGGGCAGCAAGCCTGCAACAAACAGTGGGAATTTCTGCCCAAACCACAACATGTCACTCAATTTCCAAATGATCATTCCAACTTCACAAAAAATGGCAAAGATTTTTTTTTAGAAAAAGAACCAAACGACAACAGAAATACCAACAGTAGCCAAAACAGTGCGCTATCACAACATCAAACCATCCCTTTTATGATAGAAGTGCATATGGAGGAAACAATTACAGAATAGGTGACCCACCTCTTCAATGTAAGTCTGTACCCAACTGATCCATGCTTCCTTCCTTTCTTTCCCAATATCTAGGAGAGCAGCCTTCAGTGGAACAAGCAGCTCATTCTCCGGAATACCAGGATCCGCTTTGACATTCGAAAGAAGACGGAAAAAGTTGGTATAGTCAACCTTATCAACTGCCAAGTTGTTAAGCAGCTTACTAATTAGCTGCTTATTATACTTGGTTAAGCCCAGCTTTTTGGTCATGATAGATTGATACTCATCCATGAACTTTGTCCCATACCTGCAACAAACAAAAAATCAAAATGTTCACACAAATAAGTTATTGTCGTCTACTGCCAATAATTGTTCAGAATGGAGGAAGAGCTCACCTCTCCGTCACATAATTTGCCTCGTCTTTGCTGATAAGCTCAGCAGATGACAGTGGTCCAGCAAACTGAGCAATATTCCACAAGCCAACATCAGGTTGATTTGCAAAACAATACCTCTTCCCAGGAAGATCAGTGGTATTTGGAGTATAGCTAGGATCAAAGGCATCGAGAAAGCCAAATGGTCCATAGTCAATAGTTAAGCCCAGCACACTCATGTTGTCAGTGTTAAGTACACCATGGGTGAAGCCAACACCTTGCCATCTAGCTATCAAGTAAGCAGTCCTCTCTGCAACCTCAACTGCCCAGGCTGTTACAAATGGATTGCAGGTGAGGAAAGGTTAGTTCTCCGAGGATTTTGAAAGCAAAATAAAATGTGGTATAAAGATATTTGCCTGCATATTTGTTTGATGTGAGATCTATTGTTGGAGAATCTCCTATAACTGCCTCGAATGACAAACCTTCACTCTTTTTCATATTTTCAAGATGCGGAAAGTGTTGACGTATCACGTAGTCTGCCAAACGACGAACAATTTCAATGTCCTCTTTGCCCCTTGAAGCATGTATCTGATACGAACCAAAACGTAAAAAAGATGGTGCAACACGACAAACGATTGCACCTGGTTCTTCCTTTGCATTGCCACTGCGTATATAAGACAAATGATTAACACTAGAAGCATATCAATAGGTACAGTGTATTTACTGAAAACCTTCAGAAACATGATCCTTAAAACAAAATCTATTTTAACTGCTGCCAGTCAGTGACTCAGTGTTATAGATTGCAGGTAGTGGTAATGTAACAAAGGTTCTCTAAGCATAGCATACCCTGGTGACATAGTAAGAGCAAAACTCATCCATGTTCGCAGTATTTTTTTTTTAAAAGAAAAGCCTTAACAGGAAAGTGGTCCTATACAGCATACACAGGTGATATGTGAGTACATGAGACTTGACGTCATTTGCAGAAATAAATAACATGAAATAACCCAATCCACAGTCTACAATCTGCAGCTTGTGTTCAAGAATAATTTAGGGCAGTTTCATGCTTTATAATCATGTCTAGGTCAATAAGAATAACAAAAAAAAAGGCACATTAAAACAAAAGCAAAAGACCAACATACTACATTGCCACCTGTGCACAAATCAAATAATATAAAAGGACTTATGAAGCAAGCTGTCATTCAGTGAAATAAAACCACTATGCCTGAAGCACAAATAAACAAATAAGTTCTTAACAGTGATGTTCAACCAACCGCTATTACTTTGGTATAGTATATATCTGGCTCAAGCAGCTTTGATTCAAATATTTTGTATGCTACAGATAACACTGCCATCATTACCATGCTCAGCTTATAAAAAGCTAGATCATATACAGCCTTTTTCTACCTTTCCCCCCTTTTGTTGAAAATTTATCTTATAGAAGTGGAACACAGCGATGAAACATAACATGGCTTAACAGTGTACATTGAAAAATTAAGATATCATGACATACTCATAGAACATATCTCGGACAACTGATTTTCCAGTTTCAACTAGACAAAGAGCACGAGTTGTTGGAATGCCTAGACCGTGCATGGCTTCGCTGCATAAGAATTCACGGATACTGCTGCGTAGGACAGCAAGACCATCAGCAAATCTGCTGTATGGAGTCTTTCCACAACCTTTGAGCTGCAACTCCCACCTCTCACCTCGAGAGTTGACAACCTCTCCAAGAGTTATCGCTCTTCCATCCCCCAACTGACCAGCCCATACACCAAACTGATGTCCTCCATAGCACTGGGCGTAGGGCAAACTGCAGGTTGTTATCCATCAGAATGTTGATTATTTGGCTGTCTGGAACCAAATAGTAAGGATATTAAGTGATGGTACAACAAACCTTCCCACTAGTGGAGTTGCTCCTGAGAAAAACTGAGGAAAATCAGGTCTTTCAAACCTGAAAATACACAAGATAGCACATAAACAATTATGAATTTCTGTTCAACAATATCAGCAAGGATACCAAAAAAAACTTAGAATTGGATGAGTAGGCAAGGTAGGGGAAAAAACACAATTCTATGCAGAAAGAAAATGATAACTGGAGGGGGGGGGCACATGTTAGAACTCAACCTATGCAATAAGGACAAATTTCTAACTTCAGTAGCTCCTGACTTGTTCAAGTCCATATATTAATTGCAAAGAGATCAAACCAACGACGTGAGTAGCAAACAAGAGGAAATCAGAGGATAGGTCATCTCGATAACAGGAGGAAGAAACCTTTTATCTCTGTTCTGTTTCTTCATTTTTCGAAATACAGTGCTTTAACTGACAAGTGGGAAACCACCCATGGGACCCAAGTGGAAGACCAGATGATGTGTACAAGTTCCAAGAGTCTTAATGGTGAGCGCAAGAAAGAAAATATAGAAATTGAAGAAACAGAACAGAGATAAAAGGAAGGCTTCATCGTCAGGTTGATCTCACCCGCGGCAACAGGTGTGAGAAAATTCAGCAAAGATATTCTAATGTTGTTATCCAAATATTTTGTGAACTTGCAACAGATAAGTTGCTAAGTGTGACCAGCTGCCGCCTAGCACCTAGATCCCCAAGGCAGCCAAATGTCCTCAAGGAGGCAAGGACAGGACTATTGTATGTAACAATTCTAAATTTCCTTTTTCATGTAATGGCATGTTAGAAGTAGTTGTTTGGATTACCTTGGAGCGCGTAGGCACTATGTTGGACTACCTAGGCACATCGATTACCCCATAAT